CACAGAGAGTGCTCCCTCACGCGCCGGACTGTGTCAGCAGGGCCAGCCTCTGGGGGGGCCCCCGAGGTGACCGGCTGCTGGGCAAAAGAGGCTGGCCCTGTGGGTACATACCGGGTCGCAGGGCCCCCTGCGACCCGGTATGTACCCACTGAATGTGGGGCCCGGACGACCTTAGCAGTCCGGGCCCCCCAGGACCGCCGGGCCTATGACAACCGTTACGGTTGTCATGCCCTGATGGCGGCCCTGTTTCTATGTGTCAGGTTCTTACCTTAATGAGCTATCTGCTTAAGGTGTACATAGAGAGACAGGAGCAGCACAAGGTAAAGTCCAGCCCCCCAGTGCTGCAGACAAGGCAGGATAGGACATCAAGCAGAAACATGAACTGAATTGTGGCTCAGAGACAGGACAGCAGGACTAAGGAAGCTAGAGTTCAAATCCTCTTTTTAGCACCTGTGGAACGGCCATGCCTGGCCGTCTGAATGGCCAATCGTGACACTATGGTACAATATGGTACAATGTTGGCGCTATATAAATAATTCACCCATATATTTTGTAGTACACTGGTAGAACCAAAAGTAACCTATAGAGGAGAAAATAGGAGTAGTAAAAAAATAAATCTATATTTATACATTATATAGTTGTTAAATATATCATATATGAATGCAACAATATTGATTTTTACTGTTCTTGTTGCTTTGCTCTCTGTTCTTTACTTCTCACTTGATCTGTGAATACAATCAACATTTAGTGACTGTTCCCTAGCCATCATTCATTTTTTTTCCATCAGTTATGTCTTTTATTTATTTTTTGGTATAAAATATAATATATATTTTGGTATATATTATTATTCAGATTATTCACCCTCCTCAGAACATGATCAGCATTGCCTTCAGTTAGTTCCACATTGCAGTTCGAAATTTGAAGGTTCGGCAGGAATTATCTCCAAAGTCTACTAAAATCTCACCTTCAGTTCAGCTCCAAGATCAAGTTTGCCATGCAACCTGATCCATCTTGAATTACGTCGTCCCCTTTACTCTGCAATCTAACTTAATGTTTCTCATAGAGAAAGGCCTATGGCCTAGAGCCTATGCGTGGCAGATGTACTCACTCTTAGCTGGGCAAGTGGAGGGAGGAATGGCTAAGGGAGGCAGGTGAAGGGAGGAAAAGAGTCTGCATTTGGCAATGTATATATCCATTGCCATGTTGTCCGAATGCTGTGTGTGCTGACAGTTATTTGCACAGAATTCACATTAGTTAGCCCGGGAAAGGGGTTGTGATTACACCTCTGGGAGCTTTCTCAAATATGAGCATTCCATGCTGAATTTCTGCACATACAGACTACAAGCACCATCATAATTTCTAAACACTGAAGTGGAAGCAATCATCATATGACTCTTTTAAAGATGTGATCATGCACCTGCATGCAAACAGCAACATCACCCAAAAAAGCAATCTTACATTCAAATGCTGACACTACACGAAAATGCATCCGTGCATTCAGACGCCAATACTTTACACAAAAGTAGCCTTACAT